CAGCCAGAACGGCCGGGGTGGATGTATCCGTCAGCACCAGACCAATGGATATATCCATCGCCGTCGTGGCATAATGGGAAATAAGACTTCCCCTTGGTTTGGGTCTCAAAGGTATTCGACAAGTGGTGATGGAAAAAGGAATCAGAATGATATAACCCCTAAGGCGATTAGGTTTTTTTTCAAAAAAAAAAAAGAAAGGGGGATTTGTCGGGGAAGTCTTCTGACTGCTGTATGGGTTGAATAGAAAGCACCTGTGTTTTGTTAAAACAGGTGCTGTGAGTCACGTTGGTCAGCCAGAAACCACGTGACCCATGGGTGGTTAAAGGTGGGGGACTCCCTCCTGGGAGTGGCGCATTATTCTCCAGGACGTTGGAGAGGTAGGAGCCCTTGGAGAGTGCTCGGGAGCCCTCTTGCAGAAAAACCTTCTGAGTGAGATAAAGACCTTCTGAGGTACGAGGTGATCGCAATGACCCTTGGGTTGCGAGAAGATACCTTCAGTTCGTGACAGAGTTCGTGACATGACCCATGGGGATTCCCTGCAGTCCAGAGACACAGTCCTAGGTTTGTGTTTTTCTTCCACCTAGAGCACATGAAATCAAGTGAGGGCTGTAATGTGTGCTTCGCTTTGTTTTTAGGATGACAGTAAGGACGTTCTGCATGTGTGTGTGGTATGAAACACAGATTGGTGTCTGCAAGAGTAGAGGAAGCAGCACCAGGCACAGTCTTGTTCATATGTCTTGTAAGGAGCAGCTCTTGGAGTGATCTGTGCCTAAACTCTAAGGAGCACTTTCCTGAATGAACTATGCCCACGGTTGCGCCTGGACATTTCTGTTGCGTGAATAAGCTGGGAGAACATGGCACTAGAGCAACACAAGGGCCTCTGATATTTGTTGTGTAGAGGCACCAGTGGAAATTCAGTCTAACCCAAGCTATCTACCCAAAAATATCAGAGCCATTGGTGCACAGTGGCTTTGGGGAGGATTTATCACAATAACATGCCCAAGACAGCCAAGCTAAGTCACCACCTGTGATTCCAAAATCTCTTTGCTGAAGAAGCATTGGTGGCATTGAAGGCACTCTTTGCCAGCTTGGATGGGATAGGATTCACCCCACTAACTGAGGCATTTAAGACCACACTCATTCATCGCAGTTTTCTGTATTAGTAATGTGTGTGACAGTTTGATGTAATCATCTCCTTATTTCAGCGTTTCCATGGCATGGGAGGGAAGTTATTTAAACAATGCATGAAAATCCTCTCAGAGCAAAGGAAAAAAAAATCTCACGTTGAATGAAAATCCCATGTTTTCATTTAAATGAATGAGCAAATTCTGATTTTGATTCTCTTCCTGAAGTAGCATGTTTTTCTTGCAAACCATGAGTGAATGTAATCATCTCCTTATTTCAGCGTTTCCATGGCATGGGAGGGAAGTTATTTAAACAATGCATGAAAATCCTCTCAGAGCAAAGGAAAAAAAAATCTCACGTTGAATGAAAATCCCATGTTTTCATTTAAATGAATGAGCAAATTCTGATTTTGATTCTCTTCCTGAAGTAGCATGTTTTTCTTGCAAACCATGAGTGAAAAGTAATCCAGGAAAATTGCAAAATGGCAACACTGTGGCAGGGATTAGAGAAGAGAAGATGTTTCTGTTTAATTTTGGAGAGATTTGAAGGTACAGTTGTATTCCTCATGTCTTCAAAGGATGGCCCCACTGAGCAAGAGTCCCTCACCTGTGCAAATCACCACCCGTTGCCCAGCGTGTGCTTCAGTGCACCTGGCATTACAGAGTGCAAAACTGAGCTGCCAAGTCTGTGCTGAGTACAGGTCTCCTGAAGACCACCATGGGAAGAGGTGATATCACCCTCTGGGGTGCTGGTTGCTCCCCACTACCAAAGGAGGCCAGACAATGAACTCCTCTTTTTAGACAGCAACATTATAAAAGTCTATGTTTGAATAAGCTAATTCCACTGAATTTACCAGATTAGCTGAAGTATTGGGTCCAAGAGCATTGTGTCAAGGACTGGACATTTATTTCATGAGGCTTGATCTGGAGACAGGTGCATTGTTACTAAAAATTACACTTCTGACCAAGATTGTAGATTTCGTACCAAAGCAGAACAGAAGTAATTTTGGACAGACAAACAGGACATTATTTCAGGCATGTTTCTATTAATGAGGTTAATGTGGAGCAGTAAGTGCTGCTTGGTAGAGAAATAAAGACATTATTGTTCTCTTTATCATGTTCTACCTATTTTCTTACATTTCCTGAAGACTAAGAGGTTCAACAAAGATCTGCCACCCAAGTAATCAAGAAACCATATTCAGGAGCAAGGACAGGTTGCATCAGAACTGGAGGAGGGTGAAGTTTGTTGAGAATGGGGTGTGTCACGGAGGGATAAAGTCCTCTGCTTGTTGCTTTCCGTCTCCGTTTCCACACTTCGAAAATGCCATCATGGTATTCACCAGGGTTTGTAAAGTGCTTTTAGGCGGCTTGAAAGGCATTCCTATGTAAGCTCTTCATATGGTGATCTGTTGCAGAAAAGAATCTGATGTGATATTCATTTCAGGAAATTTCACACTGTATAAAAAAAAAAGGTCTCACTTCCACAAATGCATCAGAATAATGTGTTTGCCCTCCCCAGCCCTCTCCCCTCTCAAAATTCATTTACAAAATCTCTTCTCAGGTGGAAAAGTATTTCCTGCAGATTATCACCCTCCTCCTCAAGCCTACCCTCAGTCTGAAAATAAAGAGACTCATCAAAGGAGTGACCACTGTGTTGAGAAGGGCCACAGCCTTGTTATAGGAAATGTGGTGACTTGAAGGCTGGACATAGATGAAAATGCAGCTACCGTAGCCCAATATGATGATGGAGAAGTGTGAGGAGCTGGTAGAGAATGTTTTGTGCCGTGAGGAAGCTGAGGGCAACCTCAGTATGGTGTTAATGATGTAAAGGTAGAACACTGCTGTCATACTTAGTGAACCCAGGAGGACGATGGATGAGACCACAAAGGTGATCAGCTCAACAGTCTGTGTTTCTGCACAGGACAACTTGATCAAAAGTGCACTGTCACAGAAGAAGTGGTTGATATGATTGGCATTGCAGAAGGGCGTCCCCAGGACAGTGGAGACAGTGGTGGCCAGGAAGTCTGCAGCCCATGAGCCCAACAGTAGCTGAAGACAAAGTTGACTGCTCATGAGCATGGGGTACTGAAGAGGGTGGCATATGGCCACATAGCGGTCATAGGACATGACAGCCAGAAGGACAAACCCAATGCAGCCCAGAAGGGAGTAGAAGTAGCACTGAGTTAAGCAGCCTGGGTAGGAAATGGCTTTGCTGCCCATCAGCAACTTTCCTATAGCTTTGAGTATGATGGATGTTGCAATGAAGATCTCCAAACAGGAGAGGTTACAGAGGAAAAAGTACATGGGCCTGTAGAGGTCTCTTTCAGCAAGAACGAAGGAAATGACCAGCAGGTTTCCCCCTAAGATCACCAGGTACAAAATGAGGAGAACGATTGCCATGAGGTGCTCCTGATGGTGGAGGGAGGGGAAGCCAAAGAGAAGGAACTCTGTGACTGTTGTGTGGTTCAACATTTCTGCATCTGAGCTGCAGTGAGTAAGGGCAGAGGGTCAGTCGAGGAAACTACACTTCACGAGGTGAGGTAGAGCAAAAGAATACAAAAGGATAGGCATTCACACAAAGTCTGGAAGGAAAACCAGAGGAGAGGAGAATCAACCTAGAGCAAGAGGACACCATTTTATAAACAAGGAGCAAACTTAGTGTGGGGGTTAGAGTAGGAATCCACTATAAACAACACGTAAGTTATTGTATTTGAGCTCTTTACCCTAGAGTCCCGTCAGAGTCAATGGAGAAAAAAATAGTCATTTCTCAGAATGTCTTAATCTAGTCTATTGAAACGCATCTTTCAGGATGAACTGAAATGCGTTCTACTGAAAGATAAAACATCTCAGCAAACTGGCTTTAGTCTTTTCATTAGGAGAGAAACAGAGAGAAGATGGCATGAAGATGGTGACAAACGAGACGTGTGGGAAGTAAATGGTAGCAGGACAGTTAAAAAAGAGGGAAGTTTTATTCCCTGGGAAAAGTTTTATTTTCAAGGAAAACCAGAGCCAAACAGGGAAAAGACAAACACGCTATGCTGAAAACTCTTCTGTTTTCAGGAGTGTCTTTCCATCCACATGTGAACAGAATTTGAACAGGTAGAACAGAAAGCTTTATAATCAGATTCTTCCTCAGTGACTGACAAATTTCTTGCTGAAAAATAGTTTTGATAAAACATTCTGGCTCTCAGAGAAAAAGGAAAGAAGATTTAAGAAGCAACCCAGAAGAGGGGAATAAAAAAAAAGGAAAAAATCTAAGGGTATAAAAAGATTTTAAAAAGGGGGGGATGGGGGGAGAAGGGAAATTCATTCAGTTGGGAGGAAAAAATTATCTTTTAAAACAAATAAATAAAGAAACTAAAATGAATAGAGAATTGAGCCTTTGCTCTCGTTTCGTGTTTGTGTTTTGGTTTTTTCTTTTCTTTCCTGTGAACGCTGTATAAGCGAAGCTTAGTTTGGTACGGAGCTGGTCCTGAATTTATTACCTGAGGTTTTGAAAAGTTCAAATTCTTGGTGCAGTGCTTCTTTCCTGTGGAAAATAACCAAAATTGGGGATACACAGAAACACTGCTTCGCAAAGTTTAGCTCAAAAGCTGTAATGTTAAAGGTAGCTCTGAGGCAAGAGATGGCTGCTGCTCCCAGGAACACAATGCAGTTGGCAAGAACGAGGCCTGCCCTGGCCGAGCAGAACATGCAATGCCCTTAAAATGGGGAGCAGAGCGGTATGAAGGTACCATGGCTCATCCCTGTTCTCGAGGGTAGAGAATGGAACTGCAAAGGGAACCGCACGGCTGACAAGAAAGTCTTGGGGCCCTGGCCTCAACAATGGTGATGGACAGAGGCATTCACCCGGGCCATTTGGACATGTCGATATCTAACAAGTTGCCAGATGGCTGGCCTTTGGGGTGAACTTTGCTCATAATAATATCTTTATAATACCAAAATATACCTCCATCCCAAAAGCTACCCACTTCCGGGCTGCGACCACCCCCTCACTGAGCATGCACCCTGAATTTCTTCTTGTCTGCACCTTTAAATCGAAGTGAAGAAAATTTACATCAGTCTTGACAAAGGTATGCTTGACTAGAGTCACTCAAGCCTCATCGAAAAAGTATAAAAATGGCTTAAGAGAAAGGGGTGTTGGGAAAGACCTCCATTGGAATGTCTGGGATCAGTCGACGGGCTGAACCTCTCTTCTCTCCCCAACTAGGGACGCCTGTTGGGTAAGAGCTCTGTGTAGTGCGCATTTACTTACTAACATCTTGCAGCTATTGTCACTGATCGGTTCTAATTTTATGTTGTTCTAAATCAAATCTGTTTTCATAGTCAGTCCTTGTCACCGGCTGTCTTCAAATCTGTATCCTGTCACAAGCATATGTAACAAAGTTTGTCATATATATAAAAATATAAGTTTCCAGAAACTCCATAATTGATACAGAGGGCGAACACTCTCCAGCTTAGTCGGCTGCCCAGGATAGGCAGGCGGGTCGGGTACAAGGGTCTCGTCTTTCTTGGGAAGCTGGTAGACTGGTCAAATTGCTCCCTGACCTCTATTGACCTGATCTTGTCGTAACATGACGTTTTCAGACAGCCTTCCCCTATGCAGCCATCTCCTTTCTGTTCTGCTCGTTTTGCTCACAAAACTTACACAAACCTAAAACTCTCAGAACCATCTCGCTCTGTGCAGATTAGCTGAGAGAAGCCAACAAGATAAAATCAAAGGAAGGGGTAGAGACCCTGGCACAAGTCTCATGTCCTCAGAATATCACAGGATAGGAGGAATATCAAAGACGGGATAGCAAGTAAGAAGGCAGGCAGACAGCAAGGAAAACAGAGGTGAAATGTGACAAAGCACTTACATTAATCTAAGATGTGCTGGGAGTGTTATGGGTGGGAAATGGAAGCTCAGTAGAGTTTGTGTAAAGCGTCATCTCCTTCCCTCTCCTCCAACTACCCCTAAACCAGTGTCTCATGTCTCCTTTCTAGGCTGTTGTAATGCCTTTTAGAGTCAGCTGGTAATGCCCTTTGTTCTTGGGAACTCGCTCCAGACTGAAGTAGTCTCTGATTTTCCTTCCCCTTTCATGTGAAACCATTCTAAGCCCTTTGGTACGTTCCTTGAGGAGTCACGGCCCTGTGTGCTAAGAGGTTCCTCAGCAGAGCGGGTCTGAAAGGGTGAGTCTGTCAAGCCCCACATGAGCCCTGCTTTCCCATTCCCCAACCCTGCCCATCATGAAGGGGGACATCTCCTTTGCCCTGAGCCCTGGGGAAGAGGGGAGGAGAGGGGCTCCCATCTTATGGACCTCCCATGGACCCACCCCAACAGGTCCATGTTCCAAACATAAGCAGAACATGGGCCTGTGCAAGTGGGTCCACAGGAGGGACATAAAGATGATCCAAGGGCTGGAGCATCTCTTCAATGAAGATAGGCTGAGAAAGGTGGGGTTGTTCAGCCTGCAGAAGAGAAGCCTCTGGGGAGATCTTAGAGCAGCCTTCAAGGACTGAAAGGGGGCCTACAAGAAAGCTGGAGGTCTTTGTACAAGGGCGTGTAGCGACAGGACAAGGGCCGTGACTTGAAACTGACAGAGGGGAGATTTCAATTAGATATAAGGAAGAAATTCTTTACTCTGAGGGTGGTGAGGCACTGGACCAGGTTGCCCAGAGAAGTTGTGGCTGCCCCATCCCTGGAAGTGTTCAAGGCCGGGTTGGAAGAGGCTTTGAGAAACCTCATCTAGAGGAAGGTGTCCCTGCCCACAGGACTCCATGGGGGTTGGAAATAGATGATCTTTGTGGTCTCTTCCAACCCAAATCATTCTATCACTCTATGATTTGATGATTCTGGCCAGCAGCCCCATAGCACCAGGAAGAGTCCCTTGGAGCCCACTGGACACTGCTGGAGACCACTGGACACTGCCAGACATCGCTGTAGACCGTCGCAGAATGCCAGAGACCATCAGAGACCACCAGACGCCGCTGGAGAACGATGGAGACCATCAGAGACTGCTGGACACTGCGAGACCCCACTGAAGACCATGAAAGACCGCCAGATGACACTGGACCCTGCCAGAGACTATCACAGATCAACAGACACCACTGGAGACCAATGGAGACCATCGAAGATCACCAGACGCCTCAGGAGACTGACAGAGGCCATCGCAGACAATCAGCGGTGTCTGGTGGTCTCTGGAGACTGACGGAGACCATCACAGACCATCTAATGCTACTGGAGACCGTTGGAGACTGCCAGAGACCACCAGATGCCACTGGAGACCGATGGAGACCATCAGAGACTGCTGGACACCACTAGACCCCTCTGAAGACCATTGAGGACTGCCAGATGACACTGGACCCTGCCAGAGACCATCACAGATCACCAGACGCCGCTGTAGACCATCAGACACCTCTGGAGACTGACAGAGACCATTGCAGACTATCAGCAGTGTCTGGTGGTCTCTGGAGACCGACGGAGACCATCACAGACCATTGGATGCTACTGGAGACTGCCAGAGACCATCAGACGCCACTGGAGACTGATGGAGAATATCGGAGACTGCTGGACGCTGCTAGACCTCGCTGCAGACCGCCAGATGACACTGGACTCTGCTGTAGAGCACCGCAGACCACTGCACACTGCTGGAGTCTGTGGGACTCCCCTGGAGCACTAACAAGCTTAATTGGGCCTGGAGCTGGCATTTTTTCAGTCTGAGGATGACAGAGCCACTGGGGGTGGCTGTCTTCAGCTAGCTTTCACCTCAGCTACTCAATGTTCTGCTCCTTAGGGATGTGCAAACTGCCTACTAAACCCTTCATGAAATTCTTATACAAAAGTTTTAACTCCTTCATTGCTGGGTAACAAGACAGGGCAGCACCGGCAGGGCAGGGCCAAGTGGAGGCAACGCGTCTCGAGCTGGTCACGTGCCCGTGCCGGGTGGTGCGTGGACCGATCCCAGCACTGGGCGGGGGAGCGATCCTCGCGCAACAACCATTGATGCATGAGCGGTCAGCGTGTCCATTGCCCGTGGCAACCGTGTCCTGGACTGGTCACTGCTGTGTCCTCTCCGCGCTGCCGCGTCCTTTCCCCTCTACTGCCATGGATGAGATGCAACTGCCCTCCCTCATCAACTCCTACAACTTCCCAGTGAAGCTGTGGCTGCCGGGATGACTCCGGCGGGGATGACTGCGGCGAGGGGCTGCTCATCAACCAGCCGCTTCTGGTGAGGGCTTCTGAAGAGCGTGAGCTTCTGGGTGCAGGGCAAGGCTGTGCCATGGGGCCAGACAGCAATGGGGATGCAGAAACTGCCCCTTTAAGACCAAGAACTTCAGCATTTTCATCCGAAAGCTCAATCCCTACAGCTTCCACAAGTTGGTGATGAGGCTGGAGGGCAGTGTGGAGGGGGCCGAGCCAGGCCTGATGGGTGCTGATGGTGGCAGTTCCACTGGGCCCCTGCACCACTTCCACAGCCCACACTTCCGCC